AGGGTCCTCGAACCTTCGAGCCGGATGCCAGGGCATTCGTTCAGGTAGGAAGCTTCAGAAGATCTCGTAGCTATGGGGCGAATTGCCAGATGATCCTTTCCATCGTAGCAAGATTGCAGAAGCCCTGAAAAAATCCTAGCCCCCCCTCAACAAAAAACCCAAAGCCCTAAACCCCCCCCATAACCCCTGAAACCCCGGTCTACTCCACCGTATCGCACTGCCGGCTTCTGGCAGGCCGTCGCCGGAGCGCCCGAGCCTGGGCCTTCTGGCACAGAGGGGTTTAGGGGGTTCAGGGGTTTAGGCGTTTAGGGGTTTTATGCGTTCAGGTGTTTAGTCGTTTAGGGTTTGAGGGTTTAGGAGTTCAAGGGTTTAGGGTGTATGGTTTAGTGGCTTTGTGGCTTAGGGTTAGGGTTAATAGGGGTTCAGGCATTTAGGGTTTTTCGGGTTTAGGGTTGCGATGCACTTGCTTTCCATGTCCGTGAACACGTGGATGCAGCACAAACGGCATTCCAAAGCATCCGCGATTCCTGCCCCACCTAGGACCTAGGACCTAGACAACTGGGAGCCTTGCTAAGTTAATGTTTTCCTTCATGTCATGTTCTGCTCTTCTGCTGCTGCTGGTGCGGCGGCGGCGGTGGTGGTTGTCTTTGCAAGTAATATAGCGATGCTTACTCTTATTGTTATTAGTTAGCCTTGTAATTAGTTAATGGTTCATATACAGCTATTTTTCGGATAGCTTGTCTTTCCTTCTTGCGATGATGATGGTGGTGGTGGTGGTGGTGATGATGATGATGATGATGATGAGTAAGCGCTCTCTCTCATCATTATGTGATTTTTCTGCCTTCCGCTCTGTTTTGATGTTGTAGGGTTCCGCAAATCAAGGCCGAAAGGAAGCGGTGCGTGTAGTGCCCTAAACCCTAAGCCCTATAAGCCCAAACCCTAAACCCTAAACCCTAATCCGTAAACCCCTAAACCCTAAACCCGAACATCAGAGCTGCCGAGGCTGGAGGAGACGGGATGGCCCAGCTACTGCCTTGAGCCCGCCTCTGAGTTGAGGGTTCAGGGTTTAGGGGTTTGGGGTTTAGGGTCTAGGGTTGAGGGTTTGGGGTTTAGGGTTGAGGGCTTGTAGGGTTTAGGGTTTAGGGCGGCGGGCCCGGAATTGGGTTGTTAGATGTTGTTAGTTGTTAGCATTGCGGGTGCCAAGCTTCGGGGATGCTCTTTAGCTCGAGGTGCGCCCTCGCTGTGGTTTGGTTTTTGAATGACAAGGGAGCGTGAAGTTCAGCTGTGCCAGGCGTCATGCCCATCGACATCAAGACGGGGAGAAGGCGGGATGGGTACGGGAGCTCAGGGGGATACTTCGGCTCCGTTGTCCTTGTAACTGTAAACCCTAGACTTCCCTAAACCCTAAACCGTAAATTAAAGAAAATCCTTCACCCTATAAACCCTAAACTTCCTTCTGCAGAGTCTCTCTCTTTCCTCCCCTCAGGGGCTCTGGACTTCCACCCTCCACTACTGCCACTTTGGCTTCCGTAGCTTGTTGTGGCGTGTGTACAGCAGCCAAGACCACCTTAACCCCCAATCGTAGATACCGCGCGAAGAGAGTCGAGTCTCCTGTGTGCTGTACATCCATCGCCATAGCCCCCCAAAGCGGCCTGAAGTTGTTTGCCGTGGGGGTCTCAGGGAGGAGGTGTTTGAAAGAGGGCTTGAGAGGGTTTGGGGTTGACAGTGTTCGGGGGTTTTGGGGTCAGGATGCTTTGGGAGTCTTTTGGTGTTGATTTTGTGTGGCTTCTCCCGACGCTGAGCCTGGAGCAGGCCTTGCGACATTCCTCTGCAAGTCGGTTGCGGGGATGGGGGCTTGTGGCCTTAATGCACTATGCTTTAACTATGCTACATAACAGCTGTGCTCAAACTGGAGCTCGTCTGTCAGAGACATGACAGTGACAGGAAGCACGGAGCTTGCTTGCACGGATGGTGACATGTCAGCAGGCCCCCAGAGGCCTTCATACCACCTTGAGTCGTGTGCTCCCGCAGCGTCCTCAGCCCGACATGGCATACCAGCTGAGCGCTTGAGCCAAGAAGCGCAGAGACCGATACAGCGAGCTGCAGCTCATGTCGTCTTCTAGCTCTTCAATCGCAAGTGACACGTCCTCCTGCATGGAAATGCTGCGTTGCGCAAATGAGGGCTCCAAGCCAAGCCATCGGCCGGTGCAGGAGAAATTGACTTGCACTTCGCCATGGCTGGAGCCTATAAATATGACCTGCTCCTGGAACTCGACGACAGGCGGGCGTGGAGTGGAGGGGGGGCGGGCGGGAGGGCGGAAATGTGTTTTGCCAAAGGAACCTGCATAGCCTCGCCAGCCTCGTTGCCAGCTGCAGGCCGCGAAGCCTGGTAGCCACACTGGTCTGCCCGCAGCCGCACGAGCTAATGAGTGGCTCTGGCAGTCTTGAGGATCCTTATCGCGTGCGACTGGATGAGCACCTGCGAGAGCACTTCCTACGTGTGATGGACCTGGAGATTGACCTTGGGGGCTCGAAGCAGACTCTTAAACTGGCGACGGCACAGGAGAGCTGCCGAGAGGACGTTGAGCAAGGGCGGCTGCCAACCCTGCAACGGCAGCTGGTGGTGCCAGCAGCGGCACGGGTTTTGGGCTTTAAGTACCACGAGGTTGGGAGCTCAGAAGAAGCCGCGCCGTGCCATCTCTTCCATTTGCGCGAGCTCTGCATGTTCACAGTGTACTACATCCTATATTAACGGAGAGGCGTGCGTCTACTCAGGCCGTTGAGGCCGCAACGGGCTTCGCCCGGGTTCACGACCTTTGCGTCCTCCTGGAGGACTTGTTTAGTCATGAGAGGCATGCGGGGCAGAGCCTTGGCAAGCAAGAACCCTCAGCCTGCGGCGCCCTGATAGGAGGAAGGAAAGCTGTACCTGGAGCCGCTCTCCCGTACCTACACAAACCAACTCTCGCAACACCTCCCTGGCCGCGTGCGCTGGCTGCCACCGGCATTGGAAGCGGTAGAGAAGACAGACAAGGACTGGGTTCTTGTTAAGGGATTTAAATTCAAGTTACCATCATAAGGAAACCCTATATATTATTTACCATAGATCCCTTTTAAACTTTTGTGGTAACTTAAACCCTAAACCCCCAAAATGCCAGAAAACCCTACACCCTAAACCCTTAACCCTACAGATCTCTGCTACGGTAACTTAACTTGAATTCCTGAACCTAAATTGAATTCACCTAAATTGAACTCTTTGAGAGGAACCCAGCCAGGAAGGCCTGGACGTCACGGAGCTCCCGGAGGCCCCTGAGAAGCTGCTCCCCGCGTTCTGCGGCACTAGATATGCTCGGTGGAGCGTGTTCTACCTCTGCATGTGACTCAACGTATGTATGAATGTATGCATGAATGTATGAATGTATGCATGTATATATATATATATGTGTATGACATAATATAAATTGTATATTCCTGTGTATATATATATATACATAATTCTATAAATACATACACAGATTGATTGTTTCCTACGTCCCACACTTTACGGTTGAGCTTCGTGTGCTGTGCCAAACTAGACGATCTACGTCTCGCTTGCTGGGTTTTGAGAGGTAGATGGCCTCCAGATCCTTCGGGGCTCGATGGACCACATCGTCGACGCGTGCTACAAGGAGGGCATCAGTGTCCTACACCCGAAACCCTGAACCCTAAACCCCAAACCCTAAACCCGAAACCGTTCTGCACCATCTTTCAGAGCCACGTGGTTGATCGCCGCAAGGACCCGTGGAAAGCTCTGTCTTTCTCCAAGATCATGTGGTGGGTGGACCTGTCGCTGCTGACCTGTGTGACGGGCCCTAGTCGTAGCAGTCCTGTCCCAGCTTTCACGGCCCATGTGCAGCGAATGCCCAGGCTTTGTTTTACATCGACATCGTGTTGGACGTCAAGCAACTTGCTCTGTTCTATGGCAGTGGCCTCCACGGATACCTGCTACTGAACATGATGAGCATGGCGCTTCCCATCATGTTCACCACCTGGGACGCGATCAAGTTTGTCGGCACTCCATCAGCGGACCGCGATGCGATGACTGTCTGGATCCCTCCGACCATCCTTTTGCCACTCTTGGTCATCGCAACAGTCTCCCAGACTTTGATGCTTCTGCTGGCTGTGGTCTCCGCCGCCACCGGCAAGCCGCCCGGCTCAACGAAGCTTTCTGCAGCTTTCTGCAGCTTTGCACCGTTGCAAGACCCAGGAAGCACCCCCTGCTCTCCGGAGCCAAGTTCGCCGAGGCGTCGGATAGCTGATATTTCACAGGGTATGCAGCGGTATGCATGGTCTGCTGCACCGACAGGTGGCCGAGTCTGCGACATCGGCACTTGTACAGACAAACTTTCTGATCTCTGCCCTCGGGGGCGTTTCACAGATTCAAGCGCTGGAGTTATCGGAGGAGCAGCTGCAAAGCATGCAGCTGTCAGTAGCGGTGTCCTGTTTGTCCCTTGGCCTGGGTTTCGCCAGCCGCGATAAGGCGGACTCGGCAGTGCTTGGCCTTCCCGGGAAACTCGGGTGGGACG